TATATATATAAAAACTTAAAAATAAATGCATCATTTTATAAGAAGGACATTCTGGAGAATCTATTCTGTGTGCTGCCCAACACCAAAACATTAACAAAAGACCAAATTGTAAAAAAAAAAGAAAAAGCTGGCCTGCCTGGCCGTCAGAAGAGAGCTGTCCCACACCTCAAGCCAAAAACACTCCGATATACAGTCCTAGATTCTCTAGAACTTCTTAACTTACCAATAAAAAAATCTTTGCACAAAAGGAAAAACTACATTAATTTCAACCTGAGTAAGAGAAGAGTCTAAGTGGACACTGTGGACAGTGTCGAGTGAACTGGCCTTCATACACGATTAGCCTTGGTCCTGCCGAGCCGCTCCAGCTGTAGGAGGCTCTTGGAACTGCGTCTCTCGCTCCACCGAAAACTTGTCCAGCGGTATCGTAGACAGCTGGGTGTCGTTCAGCACGTAGGAGTCAGACTGAAAGCACATGCATAATTAAATAGGGTTACATAGAGAGTACATTTAAATCATTCATTGGACATTTTGGCCTTCGGATAGAGGCAGATAGAAAAGATAAATAGGAAACATACAACAAAGGTCCCTGGCCAGAAATCTGCCGTTGTACATGGCAGGATTCCCAGCCAGCAGGGATGCTGTTGTGTGAAGAACAATGTTAGTGCAGTTAGGGCTTTTGTTTATTCTCTGAGTTACTGCTTTTCCTCAATGTAGTTTTTTTAGTGCTTTTATCAGACGATTATGTAGGCATTATAAACTTTAGCTGCAGCTCAGACGTCTACATTATGTAGAACATATTTTATCCTGGTTATTGTATTCTTGTTTTGTACTGTACTGTTGTTGTGAAGAATTTCCTTTCTCCTTTTTTGCGCAATTGCTGAAAAATTGCTGAAGTGATTACATTTTTATAAACTACACTTATGTTATAGCATGTGTTGTATTTTTGCAGGTCCACACCTCAATTATATCAGTTACGATCACACTGCATTCACAAAAGTAACTTCTGAGATGTCAGAATGTAGCAACATTGCTAAGAATATGTCCAGCCGGGCAAGAAACGAGTGAGTGATCAGACGATCATACGTTTTCAAAAACTCGGACTAGATAGCACTTTATTTGGAGTCAAAATTCTGAGTGTGCTCACCTGTGATGTTGTTAATACACTCTCAACAAGAAAACAATGAATGTGCATAACTACAACAAGTATGGTAGGACAAAAAAAAAAAGAAGCAAATTATGCTGTAAGCTGTGGTGGATATTTACAACAGAAAGTTTGGGTTGTAATTTTCCCAGAGACAGCTGAAGACACAAAAATATATTATATATTAATTAATTAATATAACACAAGCTGAAATACACCTTTTTTCTCTTAAAAATATCTTTATCTATAACAATTTGTGTTAACACATGTCATAGTTAACACATAATGGCTTCCAGTTCACTTAATGTCTCATAATCAGGACTCACCATGCATGTATCTTGTGTAGGTTGAGTGAAAAGTCTCTCCAGCTCGTTGCTGTCGGCCACTTTCGTCCCCGCTGCACTGCCATTGACCTCCATCTTTCTCCTGGCAGCCTCGTTCAGCCCAGAGGCCCCCTGGGAAGAGGAAGAGGATTCCAACACTGTGCTGTGCCCCGCCTGGGGGGTGGCCTGAACCGCCTTACACATCATTAACCTGGGGATTACGTGAACACACACACATAAAACTCTTGTCAGCTGCACACACATGATAACCACATGACAATTACTTTCAACAAAAATGACAGGCAAGTTATTCCATTGGGACCTTTTGTTGCTGTTGGGCGTTTACACATCATGTTGTTACTGACCTGCCGCGGTAGCTGAAGACGAGGAAGAGCACACAGAAGATGATGCAGGTGACTCCGATGTGAATGCCGATTATGATGCCTGTAGTGGATGTTTTGCTCTGTTCATCTTTCACACAGTCGCATGGGGCGTCCAACACTGAGACGATATAGAAAACCTCACAGTCAAACCACCACAAACGTTTGTTCAAACAAGACTACTGTTGGAGAGCAGAAGCTCAGGCTGGGCCAGTTGATGAAGTCAAAACTACTGCTCCAACACTTTGTCTATCCTCTAATTAGTAACTATTGGTGTCCCAAAGCTGTTTGAAGAAAGCACTGGAAGAGTTCGATGCATTCGAGTTTATTCTTTAAGCAACTCTTCCTCTGTTGCCTTGGACACAATAGTATATTTTTTATTTTAGTCACACCCAGGTTTCATCTTTCTAATGGTGTCTCAGGAAGTCCCAAACATTCCCACGCAGGGATGTACAGACATGTCCCGGCATGTTTCCCTGATACCAATATTTTTTGGGGTTTTCAAAGAGTTTTAAAAAACTTTAATTATACATTGAGTCAAACAGGTTATATGTTAAATCACTCAAATCATACTATATTAACACTAGTTCTAATAAGTGGATTTCATAGATGTGTGCTTAAAACATTTAATATATTTGATAGTGCGGGCTTTTTGTGATAAATCAAAACTCCAACACTACGTCAGCTGGAAAGGATGACAGATGTGACCCAGTGAGGCACATTAAACCTAGATGCACTGGTGGTGTTGTGGGACAGTGTGTAGCTGCGTGTAGCTCTATTTGGTTTTGTCAGATAATCACCAGATTTCTCCACCGCCTCCCGAAGTGAAACCAATCGTAGGGTAGCGTTGCCATCTCCGTGCTCGTTGAATGTGAGAAGCTTTATCTCATAGACCAGTGTAGGATCTAGACAAAAAGACAGAAAAAGATGGTAAGATAATGAATGAAGCACAGCCCTTTTGAGGTCGGAGTGTGTTTTTAGTCCTAGTTCAATCTTCAGCACAGTTCCACAGAGAAATTGTGAGATGCATGTTTACAAGCCCAGATCACATTATCAATTTGGCTCATTTAATGAAGATTACAACGACAATTAAGATTATAGAAACAGCTCAGTCAGTTAAAAAAAGCTAATCATGTTTGCTACGACACAATAAGTTGGAGTCCTAAAAAACTACACGTCTCACCCAGCTGAGTGATGTTGTACTGGGTGACGTTGCGAGGGAATGTGATGGGACCAGTGGACAGGGGTGAGTGGGCTCTTCTGTAATACAGTCTGAAGCCTTGATGTTGGCCCATCTTGGAGGAAGGTTCCCACCTTACTTGTATAACACTGCCATTCACCACCTTGGTGTAGAGGGAAGGAGGTGCTGGCACTGCCACATAAAATACAGACCGTCAACTAAAGTTGAATAACAATATGATAGTAGCAGCACTTACAGCTTTTATTTTGCAGCTTGAGTTATGACACCTCATGTGCAGTAAAAATCTTGTGTGGTTTCACACTCAGCGAGCACTGCAAAGCCTCACTGCAAACCTTTCAATCTATGTCTATTATTGGTGAAAAATATGCTTTGTGGGTGAGTGTGCTTCCAGCTCACCCTCCCCATGAGTGCTCTCTGTGACACTGTCCGATGGTTTGCTGGCCCCGTGTGATGTGTAGGCCTTGACGTAGAAGGTGTAACTGGTGGAGGGCTCCAGTTCCCTGATGACTTGCTGCCGCGTCACCTTACTGACGGCCTCCTCATACTCCATCTCCGCTGGGTCTGAAGGAGGAAACATGGAGGAGGTAAGGAGGATATAGAATGAAATTAACAGGAAAGGAATAACAGGAGCATTAAAGTGATGGACTATGGGATCAAGAGAGGAAACAATAAATACAATCTGTTTCTGTCACTATTTTATGATTATTGCCCATTTCACTGGTTTTATCAGAGCAGCGCTGTTAGGGAAGAGCTACTCTAGTTTGAACTAAATGGTGATGGTTGGCTGAATTGCAGGGGTGGAGTGAGGAGATGGAGGTAGTAAAAAGGGGGAGTTGCAAAGGACGTGTTAAAGCATTTTTATCACTCTCAATCCGGAGACAACCAACCATAACCAATATCCACCTCCAGCCCTCAACCTGTTGGGCCATACCATCTTGGAGGGGTAATTACAGCAGAACCTATTGGTTGGCCCCCGGGGCCCTTAATTATCCATCTGATAGAACTACTGAGGAGAACAGCAGCTGGCGCTACGAGACCCTCGCCACACACAAAAACACACTCACACTGACACCCATACAATAGCCCACAGCCGTAAACAAACACACTGCATGAGCCGAAACAAGTATGCACATGTATGGACACACACAGGGAGCATTGTACCAATAGTATACACACATACACAAAATTTAGTTTTTTAAGTCCTTATTATATCCGTCTGTATAGTGGAGTGTGGAGACTTACACTCTAGCACTAAACACACTTTAAGTTGTTTGTTGGGAGGGATGCATTTACCTTCTGCTTTTTCCTAATACTGTAAGTAGATTTGGACAAAAGCATCTGCCAAATGAAAGTCATGCAAATGTGATGGGAAACACTAAAAACTGTGCATTTATCATAGTTTCTATAATCTGCAACAGAGACTGTCAACAGGTGTATGTATATTTGTCTGTGGCCCGTTTCACCAGATTTGCAAGATGCAAACTGCAACTTGCAAAATGAGATCATTTCCTTGGGGGTCATTTCGACCAATTCAATTGATCATAAGAAACACCACACTAAGCATGAAAGCGGCCCTCGCTGTCAATGTCACTGCCATCTATCTTCATCACTTGAGTACAACACCTTTTTGACATAGTCAAATTTTATGGTGACTTATTTTTATGTAATCTAGTGCATATAACTGCGTAGATCTTGAGTGCAACCCACCTGAAGTCCTGCGAATGTGGAGCACATAACCGATGATGTCCTGGTTGTTTTGATCGGGCTCCTTCCAGGACACCCGGATGTTGGTGGGTGAGAGGGCCTCAGCCTGCACATGGGTGGGCTCACCGGGCAGTCCATCAGCCCAGAGCACGGTGAGGCGAGCACTGGCCTGTGTGGAGCCAGCGCTGTTCTCAGCGATACACTGGTAGATAGCCTCGTCATCCTGGCTAATACCATATATCGTCAGTGTGCTGTGACAGGACCAGGAGAGGAGAGGTGCAACAGGAAGGAAAGAAAAAGGAAATTGTGAAGTTTAGTTTCTCGGACATATATATATCTAAAGTATATATATGAAACATACGATTTGACGGTATACGACTATATGTGAAATCTAAAGTGCAAATCCAAAAGGTCAATTCTGCTGTTGAATAGTTCTTTATTGAAAGTACTCGTCATTACATTTTTCACTTCCCAAAGTAGTAGTAAGAAGCACTCATTGTGTCACAGTGTTACATTATTGTTGCAGTTAAATGATGATAATTGTTTCAGATTCTATTTCAACTATAAAGCACTTAGTGCTTACCAGCACCAAAGTATAACTTAGAAGTGTACGTCTTATAGTATTGTATTATTGTGTTCTGTATATTGTATTATAGTAAACATTTCAATTAAAATTTATTTTGTTTAGCCCAAAATCACAAATCACAAATTTGCCTCAGAGGGCTTTGCAATCTGTACACATACGGCATCCTCTTCTTAGAACCCTCACATCGGTACAGGAAACAAAAAGTAAGAAACCTTAGGGAGAGCAAGAGAGGAGGGATCCCTCTATCAGGGTGCACAGATGTGCAATAGATGTCGTGTGTACAGAATGAACAACAAAACAGAGTTACGCCACATTCAATGCAAATGACAAAAATGATTCATAAAACCATTTGTGTTACTTTTGTTTTGTACTGTTGTTGCTGTTTTTGTTTCGTACTTGTGTTTTTTATCTTGTGTATCTGACTGCAAAGTGACTGAACTGAGCACCAAGGTTGTACAATAACAATAACAACAACAACAACAACAACATGTTACAGAGCAGAACAATTTGTAATCTGGATCTATATCTGCTCCAAAATAAACAAAAAAGATTAAAATTGTAATTTAATTTACCAAGTTAGCGCAATGGATGGAAGGAAATGCCATCTGGAATCACTCAAGGTTAATATGTGTTCAAGTTATGGTAGTTCATGTCAAATAGGCCACTCCCCATAATTTTGAAACCAATTATAGAAAAAAAAACTAATGAAAATGAGTAACTGTTTTCAGACTCGTTTAAATGTGAAGCTAAACTTTCGAAAAATGGTTATATGCTAAGTTAAATTTGTAGGTAGAAATACCCTATACCATTAGATTTCTCTAAAGTTCAGGATAAATAAAACTATATGTCTCAAGTTTCAGGAGATACAAGGTGTGTGTGCTTTATAAATGATGACATAGTGACACTATTCTCATCAGAAATCTGTCAAAATCCGTTTTACTAGTTTTTGAAATATTCTGCTGACAGACACTAAAAGTGTTTCCTCTTTGATGAAAATAACTATTCTATCTACAGCTTCACATTTTATTGTTTAGGTTTTTTCCCTTAACCCAGAAATGAATTGCCTGTACTTGAATAAGGTTCTGAGTTCAGATGTGTGTGTTTGAGTAAGTAAAAGATAGAGCCACACATCACACACTACAGCCAGCAGCAATATGTACAAAAGATCCTCTCTCATGCAAAGTGCTCACTTTCAAATTGAATCGTCTTTTGCTGGAGCTCTTGTTGGAGGATACATCTATTTCATTATTTTAAAAAAAATGTAATTTGCCTGCATCAGTGAAAACTTTCATCTGTCCCTCGCTGTCCATCCATACGTACTTACCTCATCCCTCTACCTATAGACACACACACACACACAAACACACGCGCATACACCACCGCCCACACTCAATGCCTTCACTCTAGTCTTTATTTCAACCATCACTCCTCCCTATCGTACCTCCACCACTCTGCTCTTTGTCTATCTACTGCAGCTCTGCTTCTTCTTCCCTTCCTCCTGACCTGTCTTCTGTTATAGAATAAATATAAGCATTGTGTGTGTGTATGTGTGTGTGTGTGTGTGCATGTTGAGTGTTATTAGACGGGAATGCTTAATCCACTCTTATTTGTCCTAAGGCAAAAGGAAAAATAAAACATTTATCATACAGCTGAAATGACACCCTGTGGTGAAAAACATTTCTCAATGTCCTTTTCATACCAAGGCCACTTTTTCTGTATTTAAGGTATAATATGTGTGGGAGAAAAGTGAAAACACGCTTACAATGAATACCGTAGGAATGTGGAAGGGCTTACATCGTAGCTTTGTCCCTTTTCTTTACTTCCAGCTCTAGGTCATGGCATTTTAACAGATCAGAGGCATCTTTCTACTAAAGGGAAAAGACCCCTCTGGCCTCTGGTTCTCATGCTTTACTGTAAGTTGAAACAAGAATTGAATGCCTCAGGAGTTCAACATATCCTGCAGCATCCCGCCTAATCTGTCACTTGCAGTTTGTAGAAACCTATCGAATTGTCATCTTTATTTGATTGACAGGTTGGATCCTCCGTGTCTAAATCAAAATGTATTGCGAAATGTCGGGACCATCCCGTAAGGATAGAAAGAGCAACATGTCGGCTGTGTGCGGTGTACTTGGTCTGTCACTGGCGACCTTCTGGACCTGTGAAATGGGACATGAGGAAAGTGGCCTTTCAGCTCTGGACAGACGGCGCTAAAGTCATACCAGCCTCAGCGTGGGTTGTGAGGATGGATTCGTAAGAATAGGGGGGTGCTCTTTTGGGTCAGCGGGCAGGATGGAGAAGTGAATCATTCCATTTCCTTTTCAAAATTGGTGTACTGGGATACAATCACTGTACTTCTCTAATCTGGGTCAGAATAGGCTGGGAGGTTGAAGAGTTATTATTCTCTCTGGTCTGCCAGGTGGCTTCAATCTGGATAATAACCAGGTCAAAGAGGCCCTCTGTATTTTACCTTCTCCGAGCCAATCTTACCTCTGACCCCGGAGGTGGCAGCAGTCGCCAGCCCTCAGCTCGCTACTCAACCATCACATTTCTGACAGCCTTTTATATCAGCGACGGATGGAGTGTTTGCAGACAGGCAGCCCTGACCAGACGCAGCAAAGAGGCCCCCAGGGACGCACTACCCCGATGGCACCGGGCCTGGATGGGCCTCCTGAGTGTGTGAGGGGAATGCAGGGAAAATTCACAAGACGTTGCTTGTTTCAGAAGGCACAGTAGCATCCAACCGCATGTATGCTTACCCACATACACACGTATGCATGCCTAGGCGCTTACACGCAGACTGATCCTGCTAAACTTATGAGATTCTCCACCTACTGACAAAACTTCCTTTCCAAATTCCAGGATAATATTCAGTGGTTTGAACATTTTAGAGTATCCGAATACATGAAACATTTTGAGATTGATAGTGTTTTATTTTTGGCTATGACTTAATCTGAAATTATACTCCACAAAATTCTGCGTTTTGCTTTTACTTTGGTCTCATTTGGTGAGCAGATACTTTGGTGTTTTTGGACACTTTCTAGAAATAATTGGCCAAAAAGGGAGCAGAGTGTCTGTTTGAAGTAGGTGTTACTTTTTTCCACTCTGCTGCAGAAGCTGGAAATGTAAACCACATTTCTTCTTGTACCAGGATATTTCTCAGGGAAGACCTGATGGATATTGAATGTTTAGAATATTTTGTTTTAGTTTGCATCACAATTATGTTGAATTAATGAAAGACGGAGAGAAACAAAGCATACATTTGTTCAGGAAAATCCTTTGGATTGTCAATACTTTATCAAATTAAAAAAATGTAATTTTGCAAAATGACACGCAGTTCAACGGACCTCTCTTTTAACCTTACTTTACAGACATTTTCGATTGAATAGTTTGAACATTTACTTTTAGAATACATTATAGAGACCCATACAATGTGTGGGGAAAAAAGAAGGATGGAAAGTCTGAGTGAGAGTGACGAAGAATTTTGAGGTATTTGGCCTGAATTTGGGCAGTTTGCTTGTCTAACATGAGCTCCAAAGCCAAGCTGTCTTGTCCTGACAGGTTGACGCCATCATTTACTCATCAGTTTAAGTCCATTTCACAGATTGATGGATAAGGTCGTGGGCCAGGGGAGTGGTTGACAGTGGGGCTTTGGATCTGTTGTTCAGCTGTGTTTACTCTCCGTTGTCTCTGAGCAGCACCCCATCAAAAGCCAGCGTGGCCATTCCAGCTCCAGCCAGAGGGAGAGGGAAAAAAATATGGGGACAAAGAGTGAACAGGAGGAAGAGGTGGGGAAGGGGGAGGGGAGGAGCAATGAGCTCGCTGTGGCCTGAGAGGAGGGAAGGGCCAAGGGTATGACTGATTATAGGCGGGGTCAGAGTTCAAGGCCAATGCCCAGGCCCCAGCTCTCTGTAATGGGGGCAGAAGGGGGATGTGGGGCACAGAGAGGGGCTGCACACAAGAAAGGCAGGTCTGGGTGAAAGAAAGAGAAGAAAAAAGAAAAAAAAAGAAAACCCTTTGAAAGGATTCCACAACGAAATGTCCAGGTTTTTGTGGTTGCCTGTTCCTTCAGATGTTAGTCATTAATTATAAAACACACCACGGCACTCACACACACACACACGCGCGCGCACACGCACACACGCACACACACACTTGAAGAATGTTCGTTTCTTTACTATACAACTTAAATTCTCTCTACACCAATGTAAAAAGGATCCTCGTTGTCAAATTTTTTTAGAAAAAGAGAGTAAATTACAAAATAATTCTCATGGGATCTTTCTCTCCTATCTTCATTCGCCACAAGAGAGAATTAGATTTTCCATCATCGTCAGTTACAGTATCACTTTTAAAATAACACAGGTGGTATTTCAACTTCTCGTTTATTAGACTGCCTGATGTGAGATCACAGGTTGTACATGTTGGATGATTACATGTGTGAGCTTTAGAGAGTTAAGACTTATTGAGGCTTCAAATAGCCACAATAGCATGCTTTACAGGAGCCTTGTCAGCAAGGGCCAAAAATGAATGCGGTAGCAATAATGTGTGTGTTTTTGTTCGCGCATGTGTGCAGGTGTGTGTACGAAGGGCTGTTGAGACACAGCTTCACCCTGAGCATCATTGTCTGTTTACAAAAGCGGCTAATCAGCTCCTCTAACGTCATCGCATCTCATGCGGCATTTCACGACGCTGTGTCTTCCTCGTGTGTGTTTGTGTGTAACACGTGAGTGCAGACGAGGTGTAAAGGGTGCAACCCGTTTGTGAATTTTCACGTTTGATTATGCATGTGCACAAAATGAATGATGGCATGCACCGCAGGGCTACTTGTGCACATATTGGGCTCACTTGCTTTTTGATTAATGTGTGTGCATGCGTGAGTGTGAACGAAATGTACAATCGATTCCCCTTCCTTCTCTTGTCCGATTTGCTTTTGAAGGTCAGCGTCATGGATGGCTGAGGGGAGAAACCTCAGCGTGTGTATATTTTTATGCAAACATACACACCACAAACACAAATTAAAATCGCTCTGCTATGCTGCACTGTATATAAAAGCTCCCCTAATCCGACAGAGTATGTATGTGTATACACATATATATATATATATATATGTATATGTAGGCCTATATATATATATACATATACATTGGTTCAGGAGGTAAATCATTTCCCCTCTTTTTCGGGACCTTCACTACACTAGAAAACATAGCACTTGTTTTTTTTCTTCTTTAAATTGACCTTGTCATTATCAATACCACATTTTTTTCAAAACCTAAATTAATTGTTTGAGCAGTCTTAATCGAACATCACAAGGACAGGTCACCAATCTCGACCTGCGGTTTTCAGGTCCTGTGTTATCTCCACCTGACCTCACGACCTCCTGTGACTCATCACATTTTTAAGATTGGAAAAAAAAACGTCCAAAAAGACCTGAGATGATTTTTCTATTAATCCATTAGTGGAAAATTATATAATAGAAAATGAATTGCAAACAATTGCAAAAATTGACTGGCTGGTAATGGCTTTGTAAATGTGAATATTTGTTGGTTTTTACTGTACTTCGATTACAGTAAACTACATAGATTTAGGTTTTGGACTGTTAGTTGGACAAAACATGTCAACTCAGGCTTTGGGATATTGTGATATATATATTTTATATATTTATTTATAAATATTAATCTATTAATAAAAAAAAGAAATCTACAGAATCATGATAAAATAATTGTTAGCACTTGTTACAAGCGAGCACAATCCAGAGAGCTGTATCTGGCAAAACTAATCTGTGTATATAAATATTTCGTAGGACACAGGGTTAGATAATAATAAAGTAATATTAAATAAAAGACTGGGATAATGAATTATACTGCAATGTGTTCTTACTCACCTCACAGTTCATCTACACAGTTTAAAAAGAGGCACATCAAGCTGCTCTGTTCTCTAAATGTCTGCCTTTCCTGGTCAACTAGCTGAGTTTATGAGATAATTAGCTAATGGTAGATCTCAAGCTGAGGTCTGCCTCCTTAACCAATCACAGAGCAGGCTTTGTGATGCATGAGATCCACATTATAGCAGGTCTATAGCATACACTAATGGTGGTAAGTGAAAAATGCTGTGATTCTCTGACTACCCGCTCTATCTTTCACCCTCCCTCTCCTCGTTTGTCTTTTGACCACCCGTCCATATTTCTGTTTTTGTCCAAGTGCGGCCTCTCATTTATTTCTTCCCTCGTCTCTTTCCTCCTTTGTTAGTCCCTCGCTCCATCTTTCTTAGAAACATAAACTGGTGGAGGCAAGTGGGAGTGGAGCAGTGTGTGTGAACGATGGAGGGGTCTGCTCCCTTCACTCACTGCTACGGAGTGCAAGTATGGATTTTTTTTGGGTACAAATTCAATATATTCACTTCATATTTCTCTTTTATGAAAATGCAGCATGGTTGGCTGCCAGGGTCAACTGGAAAAATGTAACTTTCTCTGCTGGATGGACACCACGCAGTACTAGCAACAGGCTGGACAGGTATTAATGATCCTTTTAAAGTAATGCCTTGAAACCTTGTGCTGGAAAACTGTTATTCATAAGATCAGCCATCATTCTGTAAAACTCATGCAGCTGAAAAGTAGGTCCAACATGTATTTACTCCTCTATATTATCTCTAAGATAGCCCTCCACTGTCACAAACAGTACTGTAACACAGAAAACAGGTACTGTAACATGCAATCTTCAAACTGCGAGGATGGTAACTAGCAGAGCTGGTTGCTGGGTCCTCCTCCTCATGACATTCCTGGAGACTGCCATGGGAAAGCCTCCAACATCCAGTCAATACGCTGCTCACATACAAAGGCACAAATAAATTGAGGCTCATGTCTTGGCAGGCGTGAATTCCAGCAGCTGCGAGTTAGAAGCAATAGAAACGCAGCGAAATTGAACATTTGATGATGCCAATGATCAGATTAAGGCAGTCGTTTAACACTGAAATCCTTATTTCTTCTGTGAGCCGGGTCCAACTTTGTGAGGACACAGTGAGTGCCTGGGAGTCAGGGTTGGGAGGGGAATCTGGGCTGTGTTAATCACAGTTTGCATTATATGACGGCCTCCACAATGGCTCTTTTTCAGATTATTTTCGTAATAATAAAATCACTGAACCTCTTTCTGATATGTCACCCTTTATAATGTATAAGGCTATAACAGCAGGTTTACAGATGCTTTATAGATCAGTTATACAACTATGAATAAGATAAACTTGTTGCCAGGCCGTGTTTTAAACCTCTTTATTTGGTAACAATCCATTTATTAACACTTGTGAGTTTCACACTTTATAGTGAGCCATCAAGTGTATAGTTACACATGTTAATAAACTTCTAAAACAGATTTTGATCCAGATAAATTGGTCCATTAGAGGGTCTGGCTGATGAATTTAAGAGCTAAAACGACGAGTGTCTTGTTGGAGGATAAACACCAGCCACAAGAAGTTTTCCCACACTGGCAGCCCAAAAGCTACTCTTATTGATGGCTTATAAGCTATCTATTAAGTATAAATTATTTAATATCTACCAATAAAGACTTACAAAGCTTTTATATAAAATGTGGCTCATTAGAAAGTTGTACCAGTCATCATCCTGTTGCATGTGTACATGTAGAATATATACATATATATACATGGACAATAGATTAGTGCATCAAACGTAAGCACTGCATAAATCTCAAAAAAACATGATGCCAAGAACATTGGAAAGAAAAAAAGCAGATCTCTCCTTAACTAAACAACACTACAGATTATGGCGTTAAAAAGGGGGGGGTTGCTTAGAGAAACAATACTTCTGACAGTGTCAACAAAAACTTAAAAAAAACCTTCTCTATACGTATATTTAGTGCAGGGCTATTGTTTTGTTTTGCTTTGTTATTTTTCCCACAACCTGACAAAGTATTACAAAGTGGGTATTCTTGTATATATGAATTAATTTCCGTAAGATTAAAAGGAAAAGTAATTTTTTCACCTGTTGTTGTTCCTGAGTTTGATGTGTCCCCAGGGCTCCAGAATCTGTCCGTTCTTCAGCCAGGTGAGCTGGGGCTTCGGCTCGCCCTGAGCCTGGCAGGTGAAGACCGCGTTGGTGCCGATGGGCCGAGCGATGGACTGCGGAGCTTGAACGAACTTTGCTGGAGCTGAAAGAGGAGGGAGACAGCGAGTCAGATAAGATGGCCACGGTTTACAACCAAAAGGACGGTGCCAGATAAATAAGTGCCAGAGAAACAAACTGGAAGATTCGAGCAGAATCCAGAGGTGCAAAACGCAAAAAGAAATTGCAGAAGGTACAAAAAAAAAACTGTAAGAAAACATTCAGAAAATTGAGGCTGACAAAAACGCAAAAGAGAGAAAAGCAAGGTAGAGCGAGAAAGAATGAGAAAGTTAAAATAGAAGAGCCCACGGGGTATACAGGCAGCTGTCATTTATTAAAAATAAGTAGTGTACTGCATTATAGGGGTATTGTATAAATACTGTTGTAAATCTATGAATTATGGTTAATTAGCAGAATTAAAAGAGACACCAGATCAATGAATATAAAGGGAAATAAAGAGAGAGAGGAGCCGAAAAGGGGAAGGAAGAGAGCAAGACAATCAACAACAGCATTACTTTGGGACGAATGTGCTTTAAATCAAACAAGACATTTACATGAAAATAAAGTGATACAGTTTATAGTTTCATAACATGTCGTCTCATCCCACGCTTTCAGCTATGGTCAATTAGTGGTAATAACTTATTCATCTGAAATGATTCTTTCAGCAGAGAAGGTGCTTTCTTTAAATCACAGAGCAATTACTCTGCTGGAGTTTAATTCTCCTCTGCACTCATTATTGTCCCAGTGGTTATCAGTGATTTCATAACCTGAATTATTTATGCCTATATTAACGAAGAACATTTTTATAGTAATTATAATACCTCAGAGACATCACTAGAGGGTCGAAAGCTGGAACAATAGGCGTTGTCATATTACGTGTTATTAAAAAAAAAAAAAGCTTTCCTACATTCATTTTGTGCCGGCCCTTTAACTCATCATTACCTGGTGGGACTGAGCAACTGGAGTCAAATTGTCATATTACACCTTTAACACAGATGTTGGTTGGATTAAAACAACATTGAATTCTGTTGAGTGAGCATTAACAGAGAGAAACCTGTATCAGTGAGAAACTGTTGTTCACAAAGAACCTAAAACAATTCTTGAGTGTTTCTCAGTTTCAAGTCCGTTCATTCCTACAAAGACTTAAATCTTAAAAACAGGTCAGAAATATATACTGTAGTTTAAGGGCATTATTGATCTTCCTACAATTGCAGTTGTTAGCAAAAGTTATTCAATCAGGACAAAATAGTGCATTTGTTGGGGACTATTTTCAGCTGGGTATTTGGTGCATTAGTGAGTATTCACTGTGGATGCGATTGACTGAAAACAAACAGCAGTGTCAATAGTTTTTGGACAACAATGGAGGTCTATGGCACAGAAGAATAAAATATATCAGTATTTGGAAACATAGACAATACTTGTTACTAAGATCGATATATTGATGATCTTTTCAAGGGATTTATAAACAATGAGAAAACGATTGATTCACACCATCCTTATCCTTTAATGAAATGGCCACATATAGCACTTCAAATACCTTTGTGTATTGCTTTTGTAATACGTTTTCCAGTTTAATATTTTTTGTCAGACAATATTTCAATGTAAGCATTTCCATTCTCCCATTGGAAAAGCTAAGGGACCCATAGGCACTTGAATGGAGGCTGCTGACAGCGCGTGATGGTCCTTTCATTTATATCTCCCTCTTTCCCAGCTTCATTCTCTCTTTCACTCGCGCTCAATGTGTACTTTAAGGGCTTTCTTAAAGGTGAAGGTCAGAGGCAGCTCCCGAAGATATCGATTTACACCTGTAAGGGTGTGAGTTAGATCATCAGCACCATCCATCCATCTTGCTCTTGTTTTCCCCTTTGGGCTGTCACACTTTGACTCCTCCTCCGGTCTTTGTTTCTGAAGCTAATTAATTTGCTGTATCAGTGCATTTGTTTGACGTGTGATGGTTTCATAAGACCTCTGGTCTGCATTCATTAAGAGTTGGAATTCTTGACCGCTCTACTCCTACAGTCACTGACATCCTCTCATAAGGACATACAAAAGTTTTGTTTTTTTCGAACTGAACTTCATGTATTCGGAGTTAAGAGTACACCTTTGTTTCCACAAATCAATGACAAAACCCAAAGACATTGACACATAATTAACATCCATGGCTTTTCCTCTTTGTTCCTGCTAGGGTAGGGGCTTGTCGCAGACTTGACAGGCAGAAAAAATGAAATATTGATCAGGATCAATACTGCTATGGGCTGAAGAAAAGTGTGGTCTATCTGATCAATATGTGAGTGAGGCAGATGCTGCATGTTTCCTGCGACAATTAATGCACTGGGGGCCACACACAACTTGGCTGCATCCCATTGATCAAAATGCATGTCTCTGACCTACCGTCAAACATTTTACTGGTTACAGCACTCGTGTGATGAAGAATGGACAAAGAGAATAATATAACAGAATAAAATAACAAAAAACACTTTCAGAGAGCAACTTTAAAGAACAATACCAGTTGTGCATGTTACAGCCCATTGACTATAACTATCCTGTATATGTAATTTATATAAATGACGAAACATTACTGCATTTACTGACATTTTCTATAGTTATGTTCCAGTATTAAAATATCCTACATTCTTACATTAAGATTCACTGGACTGCAGCTTTGCCTTGTTGTGACATTCATAGCCACAAAGCCATCAACATCTTATATAGAGTTTATCATAACTATTCGGCTTGAAAAAATAAAGAGTAGCAAAAATGACAACTATATTTGTCTGCCTGTTGCATGTTATTGATGATATTGTTTGTATGTTTTTGCCCGCTGAAAATTAACTCAAAAGTGCTATTGAGATCAAAACCTGCCATTTAATGTTAAGTTTGAAGGATGAACCAGCTTTTCATTTATTTTATTGTATGTGCCTGTCCATAGATACAGGAAAACACCACTACACGAACGAAGCCAATACAAATCCTCTCCTGTTGTAGAATTTGTCATGCTGTGGCAGAATTGGATTTTAAAAAGTTATGGGAATGTAAGAGAAGTGTCCCTGTGGACGCTGTGCTCAGTGTCTCCAAACTAAACACATTCTTTTTTGCCCTATCTCTAAAAAGCAATTTGTAATCACTTAGTGCCTCTGCAAATATACTATACTGTACATGATGTCGTGTCCATGTGGATGGGCCAACATTGGTAAAAACTCTCTTAAATAGTATTTATTTGACAGAAATTATACTTCTTAATGTGATGTTGTAGATTTTTTGAGTTATATGCTATTTTTAACCAATATTGATGGCACACGGCACTGTGTTAATAAGTACATTTTATCATTTATATTTTCATCTCCACCTGGCTGCCATAGTTGAGGATTTGAGTGATGATGCTGTGATTGGTTAGTTTTATGAGCTGTTTGTCCTCACTAGGAGGGGATCACTCACTCTTTCTCCTGTGATAGTAGTGTTTTTTAATGCTTGGCGGTGAAGTGATCATATGGTAGTCAGGGTGCCTGCACAGATGTCCACCCACAGAATTCACAAGCTTTACCTTATCACCTGACCACAGCTGTATTTGTATGCTTTGAGTTACCCTCCACTACTCCTACCCAACCTTTTGAAAATAGCCCATTTCTTTTATCCAGAACTCACCTTGGACCACCAGACGTCCCTGAGCAGTCCTACGAACACGGGTCCCTGGTTTGTTAGCAGCACACACATATACCCCTGAGTGCTGCACACCCACATCTGTGATCATCAGGTTCCCTGTGCCGAGGACCTGGATTCCCTCCACACCGATGGGACGGCCGTCTACTCGGAGAAAAGAGAGAGAGAGAGAGAGAGAGAGCAGTTAAGAAGGATGGCAATAATTCATGTAGGCACACAACAGGACCAGGTGTGCACCTGTACAGTATGTGTTCATGTTACGTTGGGGTGAATGTGGTGAATGTTCTAGAGTTAAGGTCAGAGCCGGCTTAAAAGACTAATTAAATGTACTGTACATTTACAGACACAATTTGACTGACCAAGTGCTATTTCTAGACCTGCCATAGGTCAAGGATGCAGCTTCCACAGTGAAGTGTGTGATGTCTTATGACGCAGCTGCCCATACAACAGACACAAGGGTAATAAAGAGAAGTTATTGAGTTTGTGACTGCTACGTGTGCTGCGTGTACACAGGATATGTTCCAGCTGCCACTGGGGGACCAAAAACGTTCACTGCAACTTCTAATCTCCTATCTCCTTACACAATCCATAGCTGCCTAGTCTCTGCTCTCGCTGTACGTACATAAGCTCACACTTTCCTGTGCTCCCTATCTGTATTCTCTGCCCCAACAATGACTCCAGTCTGCCTCTGATATTAGCTATGGGGCCAAGGGGGCATTTTATCCTCATCTATGACTTCCATCTGCAGCCTGTAAGCCTGTATGGTCCAGATTTGAAGTTTTAAGAATAAAAAGCCAGTCAGAAGGCAGGGGGATGGGCACCTGCATGCACAGGCAGGAGTTCCAGCCAGAGATACAAACCATATGGTAGTCAACAGTGTTTTCTTAGGTGTACTTTCATATCTTTGATGCAACTAATTAAGGCAAGTTTAAACTATCTTTCTTCAAACAGCTTGTACTACTGCATGTGTCAAAATAATACAAACGTAGCAATATAAAACAAAAATATATAGGGTCTAATAATGAAACACACAATTAAACCTAACAAATTAACCACAAAGAGAATATAGCATTGCTATAAAATCAGTGTTAAGCTGATGTGAAATTATTAGTTTTGAGATGGTCTTTGTTGAGAGACTCTGTGTTTACACCTCCTACACTTCAAAAGGCAATCATCACAGAAAACACACACTTCCTTCTAGATTTTTCCAACAAGATAATTAAAAAGGGCTTATTCTGAAGATTTAACCTCTCTCCCAGCTTTCTGAGTGAAGTCAACAATTCAATTCAGCCATTAAATTAAGTAATCAGATGTAAGATGGGATCTTATGGTGATGGATTATGAAGAGGACAATATTTTTAATTAATCAAGACAAATTATTAACATGAAATAAATCACTCCAACTTGCCTGTCAAGTGAATTTGCTCTGTGTCTGTCATTGTGATGTGTTTTTATTGCTTTTCTGCATTTTTCAATTATCATCAACTAACTTCTCAGTCCCGCAAGCTTTTGTCTTAACAAAAGCAGTTGTGTTTTTTTCTGCCTTTTTCTACTATATTTTGTTCTCTCTCTTGCTCCCCCCCATCAGTTTCTCTCCATCAGGTACTAATTAACTTAGTGTCAGAAAAGAAAGAGCACAGCAGCTAGCAGGCTGTGGTACTGTTGAATGCATAGCAGTAAACAAACTCTGACTGATGGGAAACTATAAGATTAATTACGCATTTTAGCCTCCCTGCTGTAATCTAATACACACAAATCCCATTGTGTTAGCATTTCATTCTAGCGACATTGTGTAAAGCAATACCCTCAATCAGATTATGCCCAAGTGCTTGGGAGGGGCAGCAATTTACATTTGGAACAGCAAATTGGATTGGATAATAGGTAAAGAAAACAGATACCAGATTGAAAAAATGGTTACGACAGACTTTGAGTGATAGTCAAGAAAAAATACACAAGCATGGCGGGAGGGGAGAAACTAATCGTATCTGTTTCAGCACCTCGTAGCAATTACTCAGAGGCTCGCTGATGCTTCGATGGAGATTCAACTTCATGAGGAGATGAAGCATGCATTCATCAACACAGAGTCGAACATCATGTTTAGCCTCAAGGCCAAGTGATGAATCCCACTGCCTCATGTATACACAATAGATGCTCCACTGTATCAAATGTATTCTGTGCACACATTACATTACACAATGCAGGACAGATCAAAGCTGCGCTGCAAAAAACATACAAGCACACAAGGACAAAAAGCACATATGACCCCCACAAAATACTCAGATTTCACATGCATGGATGCACACTGCGATTTTACTTCGGCTCAGTCACAACTAATTCCTCAAATGCAAACACATATGAGCAGAAGGAAATATTCCATCTACATATATGCACCTTCTGGGGCCTTTTTCTTTGATATGAAAATTAATTGTTCTCACCTAGTCTGCTCCAAGACACAATGGGCCGAGGGTATCCGGTGGCAACACACTCCAAGATGGCGGTTTGGTGAACAGTGAGGGTAAGGTTTTCTGGACCGACCACTATCATAGGCTCTTTGTAAACAGACGACTGAGAGCCTAGAGAAAAGCAGGGGAGAGGGGAGAATAAGATGGGAACGAGCATGACGGATGGCATCCTTTAATTGGATTTCTCCAGAGTGCATTAGCTCAATATGCTGATATCTCTTGAATCAGGTAGAGGAACAATATGTTTAGAAAATCTTGGACATATGCTGGGTAGATAGCCTGCTCGTGGTGTTTGGATGTGAAATGGATTAAATATAACAACCTGAAACAGTGAGGAGTGCTTCAGTGCTGTGTTTCACTCCTGCACTGTTGTGGGCCACACAGCAGAACTTCCCACTGTCCTCCTCGTGCACTCCTGTGATCTGGAGAACACCTGTAGGCAGAAGAGTGTATCTGCGAGAGAGTAAAAAAGACATAAGACAGAAGGAGACAAATACGATGAGACCTGGTAAATGACCGATAAAGTGCTGCCATCTCTAATAAGTGTCATGCTGCGATTTGGTTTGGTCCAACCTCTCGTCCTGGGTGTACACCGGGCGGCTGTCTTTTTCCCAGCTGATGACAGGCTCTGGCAGACCATGGATCTGGCACTGGAATCTAGCAACACCGGACTCCTCAGCATGCACCGACTCTGGTTGGACATGGAAGTCTGCCATAGCTGTAGAGGGAGAGAGGGAGAGGGGGATATTAGGTCATATCATCACAACACAGCTACAGAAAAACAGGCCTGGCTGCTTACAGAAAATAACTATTTATGTACGATCCATATATCTTCAATCTTTGATTTCATAAAAATAAACAACCTATCTATCAAATCAACAACTGGGAATGGAGAATTCCTGACATATTAATGTTCTCCTTTATCTACTCATTATGTCTGCAAGGGTAAAAGTTAAATAGATTCATAAGATGTGTAAAGTGCCAAAGTCACTTACATGCATTCATTTCAAAAAACCCTCAAGATTAGAGATGATGATTCATATGGAGTGAATACTGACTTGCTGAAAAAGAGCAAGACACACGGCTCTCTTTACTCATCACAGTACTAGACAGATACATGTCTTTATACAGGGTGATGAAGATGAGAGGGAACAATACTGCCAGCTGTAAAGTCCTCCTCTCTACTTGTAGAAACCGTTTCTAAACAACTAAAGACACCAATGCCAATGGTGTTCAACTACTAGCCCCTGATGTAGTAATCTACCCTGGAACTACAAGAGCTGAGATTTGAAAGCCATAACATTGCAAGACCTTTCATTTTTAATTCAAGAAAGTTACTTGGTGATGGAAGGCAACTGGAAGAGATGTACAGTATATTTATTACTTGGATTGTTTGATTAATGTTGTTTTGATCCAACAGTTTTCCGAAATCCTATATTTCTTAGAAAAGTTTCTTAAAACCTTCCCTACAAATGTCATCGTGAAGAAACACGGTCAAGTTACAGGAGCATGTCTGCCATTTCTGCTCAAGAGAAGACATGACATATGTACTGCACATATAGATACAAAACTGTATCTGAGTCATCCTTTACTGAAGGGGATCTCTAAGTATATAAAGTACAAAATATGCATGTAAACATGGATTTTTTGCTATATGTTGCCATATGCAAAAATGCATGCTAACACTGAGAAAGCAACACACACGTCACCATATAGCAAGACCAGTATCAACAACCCTACAGAGAGCCTCACTCAGCTGCATTCACATATCTACTGCCGGTGCCAGCACACAAAAGCAGCATCGAAGGTGGAGCCAGCGACAAACTCAATTAGAGAGAGGCCCTCTACTTCCACAGTTCTCCCACCTTCTTCAACACAAGTGTACTCATTTAAATGTCAGCCATAATTAACTTGGACACAGGAGGACTTATCTGAACAGTGTTAGCATAACAAGAGGGACGGACCCCTTATTATTTCATAACGTCCTGCTCTTCCCAACCTGTAGTCTGCATTAATTCATTACTGACAGGATGAGCAGAAAGCAAGCGGCAACTACTCTAGAGGCTTATTCATGACTGAGACATGCTTGGTTGTTGTCTGCTTGTCTTTCCACTAATTTATTTAGTATCGCCTGTTTGTGTCCCCTTGTGTTAATTTTGGAATGCAGATAGTGATTTCAGTCTGTTTGCAGGCGTATCTACTGCTTCTGCATTTAATCCTTTTTTTTTACATGCCATTCATATTTGGAAAGGGTTGACAGTACAGTTTAAAAGGTCAGAATTGAAATAAAACCAAAAGGCATGTTAATGGCCAAGAGACTAAGAGAGAGAGTGGGGGACACTTCATATGTGGCGGCACTTTAGACCAATGTGGCTGCGTCAGTGGTCCAGATTTTTCCAATTTCATAGTTTAATGAGAAGCATGGCATTCTCCAGCACGACTTGACCTTCGATCTATGAACGGATATATAGAGCTCTGATGAAAATTTAAACATGCTAATTTAGTATTCTTCCAGTAGTGACAGCTCACTCTTCCTACGCTATGAGTTCTCTGTGAGAAGAGATAGCACGGCCACTGTTTCCATTGTTTTGTCTCAAGATAAATAACACTCAAAAAATCTGACTGTTTTTCTTGGTCTATCTACTATGTGGCCAGAGTTGTATATCTCACTGATGTAATTTGGCCTAAGTCAGGGGCCCAACTGCAATTTTTCCACCTGGGACCCACAACCTTCAAGCCATAAAAACATTTTAGTCCAACCTCACGGTGAAGCGTAGATGGCTTAAATGTCACAGAGAACATCAGCATTATTTTACCACCAAACCACAAATACAGCTCTTTGCATGTTCTTTAAATAACAACTGTTACATCTATTATTGTATATTTCACGATTCACATGACAGAATATTGGCCCATAAGGACATTTTCACCGGTTCTCAATCAGCAATACTTTCTGTCTTGGCGCGCTGTAATACGGAGCCTGGGGCAGAGACTGGCAGAGTGTAGCACCGAATGAATTAAAGTCTTAAAGCACCGTCACTGAGAAAGGTTAGGAGTGGACAAACAGCTAGGAATCCCCTAGAACTTAATACACAGAAAACAAGCACAGTGACTGGTGAGACCAAAAGACACTTTCTGGCTTGGAATACAGTCTCAAATTAAGACACACACATGCAGAAACTCTGCCGTTTGTACTGTCCATGTGTACTGGGAACACAGGGGACATGAAGAGGGAAACAAAATTGCACTTGAATGGAGAGGAACAAAGAAGTTTAATAGGAGGACCAGAGCCTATAAGAGCTTTCTTGGGTATCTTTGTCAAGTAGTCATGGTCCGCTGATCTGGCGGTTCTGTGTGTCCGCCTACTCAACCCCCAATAACGGGCCCCACCCTTGGCCATCATGCATAAAACATGGCTTCTCTAAGAGGCCCACACCCCTGCGACCATCGACACACTCGTAGGATCAGACACAATCGGAGACATCATAATAGGGTTAGATACGCAGATAAACACATACAGAAGCAGAGAAACTTGTTAACCGTCTGTGGTAGATGTAAAGGAAAACAGCCGTTCGTAATCTGCATTGTGCATTTGCCTTTTATTGTGTGCTAGGTTGCAGAATCAATCTAAAGTGATGTAGCTCAGCTACAGCACATAAACAAATGCAAAAAGCTACTTCAACAGAAACAAGCAACTAAATCCCCTCGATGCTGCAGGAAAAGACAGACACACATGTGGTACTCTCACTTATCCCAACACCCAGCCCTAACAGACATGTTCCTATATTGTTTTTCACTCTTCCTTTGCTAAGTGTTGACAATCGCTCACACATGATTAAAGACTGTCCACTACCAGTATGATGCTGTTGGCTTAAATGGAGCAGGTCTAATTACTGCAATAAGGCAGACAATGGTTGGGGTGCATACTAAAAAGAAATCCATACACAAGTGCACATGGAGGACATTGCTCCTTGAACATATGTCTGACGGTTCCACTGTGACAACCATAGAAGAAGAATGAGTGAGGGAGTAATATGAGGGAAGGTCACCGACAGGAAATGTGAAGCGCGGTGATTTAGAAGGGTAGCTGTGCAGTAAATCAGGTCTTGTCAAAACTCTGGTCATCCAATGATAGCCAACAAGTGAGTGGCACTGCCTGAATGTTTCTTTCACAATTTAAGACCAAATAGTTCCATAAGGCGTCATAAACAGGCAGAAAAAAAGATGGCAATTTGTTTTAAAATTCAAAATTCCAATTACTGAAAATCACCAAGACTCACAAAGGACGCACTCCAAGTGCTCATCTACTGGTACTAATTATTAGGTTCGAGGGCCAATGACGAGCTGAAGGATCAGTCGATATTGATGAATTTTCCATCCTTCAATTTCACACTACTGGTCATGTACAATTAATGTATGCAGTACAAAAATAAGATGATGTCAGACTGTATGCAGAAGTTGCTCCAAATTAGTGTGAGTCAGTAAGAACTAAAAATAATATGCTTGTTTACAAAATCAAAGATCAGAACAAATGCAAAACAGAAAAGATATATAAGAATATTGAGTTCATTTGTGGAATAGTTTTGGAAAGGAAATACAAACACATTTCGAAATAACTAATAATAATAATTAATAATTAGATGATTAATAACAATTAAAAAAATGGTGTATGAACACTAGTGTGTAAAGGATCTTTTGTTTTGGACTTTGTTTGGGAGTATAACATACCTATATTTTATTTTGTTTCTTTCTTTCATTTTAAGTGTCTAAACTTAATGAGAATCGTACAAAATAATTTCAGTGAAAATTGTAGGTTTAATAAATTCGGGCTTCAGCCTACACCTTTTCGGTCTGTATAAATTTGATTTAGTTTATCATTATTTTAAAAATAATGACTTAATTTTGGTTTATTATTGTTTATGTGTATTAACTTTGAAAATGACCGCAATAAACTAAACTAATACTAATACAACAGATATTTAAGGTTGTGAATTTTCTGTGGTTTTCCATGATCAACTCAGAAGTCTATCCAAGAAATGAAGATTAAATGGTGATTACTTGAATGACCCCAAGCTGCCTTATTTTTTTGCCCCAAAGTAATGATCCATTTCTTTATTGCTCAGTTAAACACACACACACACACACACACACACACACACACACACACACACACACACACGATTAGGCAACAGAGAATAATTAACAAAGTGATTAAAAGCCCAAACTGCTGTTTTCTGTTACGACTCCTGCTGCAGTGACCAAATCTGATGAGACATTTCCACTACAGATATGTGGTCACATGTGACGTTTCTTTCCTGTGCTGTGGATGATTCATTGATATGACAGAGGTAATGATGCTAGGGACATGCATCCTACAGCACCATTCAAACCTGCAGCTATGGTGTAAAGCTTCAGTGATATTACAATGTCATCTCCATCCCTCACATCTCCCCTTGCCTCCAGGCCACCCCCCACTCTACCGTTCATTTCAACCGTTTGCTCTGCTCTTCATCGCATCCATCGCCCCAACCCCAAGAGCCCTCTCAGGCCTGTGACATCATTAAGCACATGTTGTTCAAGCAGTGGTGATGACTGCCGTACCCACCCCACCCCCAACTCGGTAAACCAGTAAAATAGAGATGACGCCCATAAATAATGGAGATAGTGTACGGTGCTATTCCAGCGTGGAGAGCCCACACTTCAACAGCCTTTAAATAG